TTACCCAGGCTGGAGTGCAATGGCGTGATCTTGGCTCACCGCAACCTCCGCCTCCTGGGTTCAAGCAATTCTCCTGCCTCAGCCTCCTGAGTAGCTGGGACTACAGGCACGCGCCACGATGCCCAGCTAATTTTTTGTAGTTTTAGTAGAGACGGGGTTTCACCATATTGACCAGGATGGTCTCAATCTCTTGACCTCGTGATCCACGCGCCTCGGCCTCCCAAAGTGCTAGGATTACAGGCTTGAGCCACCGCGCCCGGCCCAATATGTTACATCTTTAAATATTCCAGTGGACTGTAAATACTACAGAGGATTAGATCTATCATTTATGAAGAAATACAATGAACAAGCTTTTTTCTTTTTAATCATTAGAAATTTTACATTGTTCTTTCTTTATCTGAACTCATATTTCTATCCTATTTCCCCACTGGTTTTTATCCTAATACATATTTATGGCTGAAAGTTTGGCTAGGCGGAGTGGCTCATTCCTATAATACCAGCACTTTGGGAGGCCCAGGTGGGAGGATTGCTTGAATCCAGGGATTTGAGACCAGCCTGGGCAACGTGGTGAAAAAAGTCTCTACTAAAAATACAAAAAATTAGCCAGGCATGGTGGTGCATGCTTGTAGTCCTAGCTACTCAGGAGGCTGATCACCTGAGCCTGGGAAATCGAGGCTGCAGTGAGCTATGATTGCACCACTGAACTCCAGCCTGGGTGGGAAAAAAAGGAAACAAGAAAGAAAAGTTTTGGCTGGGCCCGGTGGCTCACGCTTGTAATCCTGCACTTTGGGAGGCTGAGGCGGGCGGATCATGAGGTCAGAATGAAACCCGGTCTCTACTAAAAATACAAAAATTAGCTGGGTGTGGTGGCGGGCGGCTATAATCACAGCTACTTGGGAGGCTGAGGCAGGAGAATCACTTGAACCCGGGAGGCTGAGGTTGCAGTGAGCTGAGATCACGACACTGCATTTGGCCCAGGCGACAGACCCAGACTCTGTCTCACCAAAAAAAAAAAAAAAAAAAAAAGAATTAAAATAAAAATTTTTGGTAAATTTTCAATGCACTTAAGGCTCTAAATATTAAAAGATTTCTTGTGGCTTTAGTTATAGCTACTGTTAACACACAATTGATCAGACAATTGTGTTTATGGTGAAGATAAAACATAAATATAGCAAAATTTTGATACTTAGAAAAATTAAAGATATTGAAATGTTGCCACAAAATAAAAAATTTAAAATAAAATATAAAATTTATGGAAAATGAATATCTTAATGAGATGGGTGGTGCTATTTCTTTTCAGTTGGTTTATATATCCATAGTTGAATATTACTTATTTCTTGAATGAACAATTCAGCATTCTCTTCTGACTTATTTTTCTAAATAGTACTGAAAAACCCTCTATGAGTAAGTAGCTGAGAATGGAAAGAATTTTGTTACAGTGTTACTCATTTCTTTGAGTGCTTTCTGAGTCGAGGTTTTTTAAAAAATCACAGAGCACTATCATCAAACATTGTATTTCATTCTTTATAAGCAAATGATTTGCTCAGGTCCACCTTCACTTTGGGTGAAAGGGAGGAACTGAATACCACCTGACTTACAAAAGGATTTGCTCTCCAGTCCTTAGAGACCATTAGATCCAATATTCAAATTATCCCTTTGTTTGATATCTCAAGAGGTATTTTTTTCAAGATGGAGTCTTGCTCAGGCTGGAGTGCAGTGGCACAAACTTGGGTCACTGTAACCTCTGCTTCCCGGGTTCAAGTGATTCTCATGCCTCAGCCTCCTGAGTAGCTGGGATTAAAGATGCCCACCACCATACCTGGCTATATTTTGTATTTTTAGTAGGGATGGAGTTTCACCATGTTGACCAGGCTGGTCTTGAACTCCTGACCTCAAGTGATCCACCTGCCTTGGCCTCCCAAAGTGCTGGGAATACAGGCGTGAGCCACTGTACCTGGCCACCCCAGAGATTTTTAACCTTAGGGTAATGCACCTTGATAGGATTTGGGGTGGGTTTCTAATGTGCCCTTTGTGTGTCAGAGGGAAGTTGGGAAGGGAGGATCGTCTTGACACCTTGACCACAGGCTCATGTCCATCCAGGCAGACCAGGTCTAGGAAGCAGTACTGGAAATGGAGTCTCATCCGGCCTCTGCCTGTGCCTGCTGCAGCAAGGCCACCGGGTGGTATATTCCTGGTTTGAACTTTTCTGCTTGAGGGAAGGGGGAGTTGTGGTGCGCCTGCTGTTTTCTTGTTGAGTTTGAACTCCTTTTGTGCCCCCAGGATGGTTCATATCATGAAGACGTTGGTTATGGTGTTAGTGAGGGCCTCAAGTCCAAGGCCTTATCTTTGGAGAAGGCAAGGAAGGAGGCAGTCACAGACGGGCTGAAGCGAGCCCTCAGGTGAGCGTGAGGCTGGAAGTCTAACCTGCGTCATCTCAGCTCTTGCTTCAGAACAAGTTTCGGTTTTGTTTTTTGTAGGAGGTAATACATCCACATGGTTCAAAAATCTAAGCAACGTGGAAGATAAGTGTCACCCCTGTCCTGGTTCCTGTCTGCCCTGTTTTCCCACTTTTGTTAGTATTTTTTCCGTGTTTCAGCTTCAGGCTTCGCTTGCGGGGAATAAGTGGTAGAATCGTGTATTCTCTCTTCTCCCCATACTCAGAATGTGTGGGAGACCTTTCCACCTCTACTGCGAGTGCATAGACAGCACCCTCATCCTCTCCGTGCGCCTCAATAGTCCTCCGCTGTGCACAGGTAGCACAGTTCACTTGGTTACATAGTCACGTGGATGTCTGTGTTTGTCCGTTTGCATTGCTATATAGAATACCAGGGGCTGGGTAATTTATAAATAAAGGAGGTTTAATTGGCTCATGATTCTGTGGACTGTAGTGGAAGCCTGGTGCCAGCATCCGTTTCTGGTGAGGCCTCAGGAAGCTTCTAATCATGGCAGAAGACGAAGAGGGAACATGGAGAGAGAGAGCAAGAGAAAGAGGGAAGACGTCCCAGACTTTTTAATTTTATTGTTTTCATTTTTTGAGACAGGCTCTTGCTCTGTTGGCACAGGCTAGGGTGCAGCTATCATTACTCTGGGCTCAAGTGATCTTCCCACCTCAGCCTTCCAAGTAGCTGGGATCACAGGCACATGACACCATGCCCAGCTAATTTTTAATTTTTTTTTTTTTTTGTAGAGACAGGGTCTCCCTATGTGGCCTAGACTGGACTCAAACTCCTGGGTTCAAGTCATCCTCCTGCCTTGGTCTCCCAAAGTGCCGGGATTAAAGGCATGAGTCGTCATGCCCAGCCCCCAGACTCAAAACCACCAGATCTCTCATGAATGGAATGAGAACTCACTTATCACCAAGGGATGGCAGTAAGCTGTTCATGCGGGATCCATCCCATGATCCAGTACCTCCCACCAGGCCTCTGGCATTGGAGGACACATTTCAACATAAAATTTGGAGGGGACAGACATCCAAACCATATCAATGTCTTTGAGAATTAAAGTGAGTCGAACCAGAAAAACCTATGAATTCTGTAGGGGAGTCCATAGATCCCATGTTAATAACTTTGGTCATGGAAGGTTGTGCCCTGGAGCTCCAGGCCCCAGGTGTGTGTTGCCTACTCCTGCTGGGAAATTGGAGCAGTCTTTGGGGAAAAAAAAAATCTCTGCAATTTGTTCTCCATGTCAGGAGGTGGCTAATGGGTTTTGTGAGTGGTGCCTTAGTCTTTTCATACTCATCACCTGTACGTGGGCAGGGATTTGTGTCTTGTTCTCGCTGCTGTATTCTTAGAAACTAACACATTGCAGTGACACGGCAGGTGCTTCCCAGACATCGGTGGAATGCACGTCGGGTTCCATTTCCTCTGCTGCACCTAAGAAGCAGCCTGCACAAAAGTTGTAACTCTGTTCTTTGATACTTATGTGTAACAAATCTTAACCGTTTCACTTTTTTTTTTTCTTTCTTACTCTTAGGAGTTTTGGGAATGCACTTGGAAACTGTATTCTGGACAAAGACTACCTGAGGTCACTGAATAAGCTTCCACGTCAGGTATATTAGACATGGCTGAGTGCAGTGATTACAATGCAGCAAACTCTTCTGTTATGGTTTGAGTATTTGGAGAATGCAAGGAGAAAAAGTGAGGACTCAGCTATTTAGAGGGTCTGGAATATTTATTTCAGATTTTGAATGTTAGGGCTACCAGGAACTAACTAATCACATCATTTTACTTTAAAAAAAAAAATCACATTATTTGACAGGAATGTGAGGTCTAGAGAATTTGTTTTACTTGTAGGTAGAGAACTGTGGTTGGGGGTAGTCTGTGAATCCTCAAAGCTACCACACAGCCCTCTGCAGCACCGCTGTCCTTCCCAGACACTCCCAGACTCACTGTTGGTCTTCTTTCTTTTCCTTAGCTCTGGTGTCATTAAGATTTAGATGTCCATTATTTCTGTCAATACCTATCACATGATCTGAGCATTTGCCTTTGGAGAATGGGGTCTGTGGCTGAGCACCCCTGGAGCCGCACCTGACATTCATTGTGATGAAAGGCCTCTGGAGTGTTCCTCCTGCCTCATGTTGCTCCCTGAGGTCCCTGCCATGTCACCACCCAGGGCAGCATCCCCATCCTGTGCCTGAGGGATTCTTTTCCTCATGGAGTGACACGGAGTTGTGTCACTGGGCATCTGTAAAAACTCCTTTTAAAAAATCATTTTTAAACATTATTGGGTTCTGTTTGCTAATATTTTGTTAGGCATTTTTGCATCTATGTTTATGAGAGATATTAGTCAGTAGTTTTCTTTTTTTTTTTTTGAGATGGAGTCTCACTTTGTTGCCCAGGCTGGAGTGCAGTGGCATAATCTTGGCTCACTGCAACCTCCCTCTCCTGGGTTCAAGCGATTCTCCTGCCTTAGCCTCCCAAGTAGCTGGTACCACAGGTGCCTGCCACAATGCCCGGCTAATTTTTGTATTTTTAGTAGACGGGGTTTTGCCATGCTGGCCAGGCTGGTCTTGAACTCCTGACCTCAAGTGATCCATCCGCCTTGGCATTTCAAAGTTCTGGGATTACAGGTGTGAGCCACTTCGCCCAGCCTTTTCTTTTTTAAAATTGTAATAGCCGGGCGTGGTGGCTCATGCCTGTAATCCCAGCACTTTGGGAGGCCGAGGCAGGCAGATCACGAGGTCAAGAGATCGAGACCATCCTGGCCAACATGATGAAACCTTGTATCTACTAAAAATACAAAAATTAGCTGGGCATGGTGGCACACGCCTGTAGTCCCAGCTACTCGAGAGGCTGAGGCAGGAGAATTGCTTGAACCCAGGAGGCAGAGGTTGCAGTGAGCCGAGATTGCATCACTGCACTCCAGCCTGGCGCCCGGCAATAGAGCGAAAAAAAAAAAAAAAAAAATTGTAATGAAACACATAATATTGTTACTATTTTTAGTGTATGATTATGTTTAGTGCATTTATGTTGTTGTGAAACTGATCTCCAGAACTTTTGCATCTTGCAGAACTAAGACTCTATACCCATAAAACAAGAACGCCGCATTTGCCCCTTTCCCCAGACCCTTGTGACTACTCCTACTTTCTTTTTTTTAAAAGTTGATTTATGAAAATGAGGTCTTGCTTTGTCACCCAGGCTGGAATGCAAGGGCACAATCATCATTCACTGCAACCTTTAACTCCTGGCCCAAGGGATCCTCCTGGATCCCCCTGCCTCAGTTTCTCAAGTAGCTAGGACTCCAGGTATGTGCCACTACACCTAGCTAATTTATTTTTTTTTTTAATTATTATTTTTTATAGAGACAGAATTTCTCAGGGCTGGTCTTGAACTACTCCTGGCCTGAAGTGATCCTCCTGCCTTGGCTTCCCAAAGTGCTGGGATTACAACATGAGCCACTGCACCTGGACCCAGCTAATTAACTTTTAAAAAATTACTATTATTTTAGATATGGGGTCTTGCTGTGTTGCCAAGGCTGGCCATGATTTTTTTTTCTTTTAAAAAAAATTAGGTTGGGTGCTATGGCTTATGCCTGTAATCCCAGCATTTTGAGAGGCTGAGGTGCTTAGATCACTTGAGCTCAGGAGTTTGAGACCACCCTGGCCAAGATGGTGAAACGCTGTCTCTATTAAAAAATAAAAAAATTAGGCCGGGCGCGGTGGCTCAAGCCTGTAATCCCAGCACTTTGGGAGGTCGAGATGGGTGGATCACGAGGTCAAGAGATCGAGACCATCCTGGTCAACATGGTGAAACCCCGTCTCTACTAAAAATACAAAACATTAGCTGGGCATGGTGGCGCGTGCCTGTAATCCCAGCTACTCAGGAGGCTGAGGCAGGAGAATTGCCTGAACCCAGGAGGCAGAGGTTGTGGTGAGCCGAGATCGCGCCATTGCACTCCAGCCTGGGCAACAAGAGCGAAACTCCGTCTCAAAAAAAAATAAATAAATAAAAATAAAATAATTAGCTGGGCATGGTGGTGCCTGCCTGTAATCCCAGTTCCTCTGGAGGCCGAGACATGAGAATTACTTGAACCTGGGAGGTGGCGGCTGCAGTGAGCCGAGATCTGCGACTGCACTCCAGCCTGGAAGACAAAGTGAGATTCTGTCTCAAAATAATATAATAAAATAAAAATAAAATAACTTTTTTCTGTAGACATGGAGTTTTGCTGTTGCCCAGGCTAGTCTCAAACTCCTGGCTACAAGTGATCCTCCCACTCAGCCTCCCTAAGTGCTGAGATGATAGGTGTGTGTGTCTACTTTGTTTCTATGAATTCGTCTACTCTGGATACCTCATATAAATGCAATCACATAATTTTTGTCTTTTTCCGATTGGCTTATTTCACTTAACATTAATGTCCTTAAGATTTATCCATGTATTTATAGATCACATTTTGTTTAATCCATTCATTTGTTGATGGATGTTTGGGTTGCTTTCAACCTCTTGGCTATTGTGAATAATGCTGCTGTAAACATGGGTGTGTAACTGTCTCTTTGAGATCCTGTTTTCAGTTCTTTTAGATATATATTCTGAAGGGAATTGCTGGGTCATATGGTAATCCTATTTTTAATTTTTTGAAGAGCTGCCCTACTGGTTTCCATGGCAGTCACCCCATTTTACAATTCCACCCAACAGTGCACATGAGTTCATATTTTTCTAAAACCTCACTAACACTTGTTATTTTCTGAGTTTTTGGTTTTTTTTATTTTTATTTTTTGAGTAGCCATCCTAATGGGTGATATTTTATTGTAGTTATGATTTGCATACCCCCGATGATTAGTGATGTTGATCATATATATATTTTTTGAGATGCAGTCTCACTCTTTCACCTAGGCTGGAGTGCAGTGATGCGATCTTAGCTCACTGCAACCTCCGCCTCTGGGTTCAAGCAATTCTCCTGTCTCAGCCTCCCAAGTAGTTGGGACTGTAGGCACCTGCCACCATGACTGGCTAATTTTTGTATTTTTATTAGAGATGGGGTTTCACCATATTGGTCAGGCTGGTCTCGAACTCCGGACCTCAGCTGATCCACACAGCTTGGCCTCCCAAAGTGCTGGGATTACAGGTGTGAGCCACCTCACCTGGACAGCCATATTTTCATATGCCTGTTGGCCATCTGTTTATCATCTTTGGAGAAATGTCTAATTCAAGTCCTTTGTCATTTTATTTTGTTTTATTTTATTATTTTAATTTAATTTCTTATTTTATTTATTTCAGATAGGGTCTTACTCTGTCACCCAGGCTGGAATGCAGCGGTCTGATCATGGCTTGGCTCACTGTAGCCTCAACATCCTGGGCTTGAGTGATCCTCTCACCCAGGCTGGAGTACAATGGTGTGATCTCAGTTGACTGCAACCTCCACATCCCAGGCTCAAATGATCCTCCTGTCTTAGCCTCCCAAGTAGCTGGGACTACAGGCATTTGCCACCATGCCAGGCTAATTTTTGTATTTTTTGTACAGAATACAAAAAATTTCACCATGTTGCCCAGTCTGGCCTCAAACTCCTGGCCTCAAGTGATCCACCCACTTCAGCCTCCCAAAATCCTGGGGTAGCAGGCATGAGCAACCATGTGTGGCCCAAGTCCTGTTTTTATTGAGCTTTTTCGTATTGTTTTTGTATTCTCTCTTTCATTTATGTTTGCTCTCATCTTTTTAAAATTTTCTTTCTTCTGCTAGCTTTGGGTGTAACTTTTGTTTTTCTAGTTCTTTGAGGTATTACATAGATTTGAGATCTTTTTTTTTTTAATGTGCGTGTGTACCTTCCCTCTTATGACTGCTTTCACTGCATCCCAGAAGTTTAGCATGTTGTGTTTTAGTAAGGAATTCTTCTAAGTTTCCTTGTTACATTTTCTTTGGCTTTGCTTAAGAGCGTGGTGTTTAATTTCTACTGATTTGTGGATTTTCCTTTTTTTTTTTTTTTTTTTTTTTTTTTTTTTTTTTTTTTTTTTTTTTTTTTTTTTTTTTGGTTATTTCATTCTATTGTGATTGAAAAGATACTTTATATAACTATATAATTTCAGTCTTATTGAATTTGTTAGGACTTGTTTTGTGGACTAACGTGGTCTGTCTTGGAGAATGTTTCATGTGTACTTGAGAAGAATTTATTTTCTGCTGTTGGTGGCTGAAATGTTATGTATATGTCTGTTAGGTCCAGTTGGCCTACAGTATTGTTCAAATACTCTGTTGCCTTATTCATCTTTTGTTTGGTTGTTTTATCTGTTATTGAAAGTTGGGTAGTGAAGTCTCCTACTCTGTTTCACCTTACAATCCTATCAAAGTTTGCTTCATATATTTAGGACCTCTGATGTTTGGTGCATAAATATTTATAATTGTTATATCTTCTTGGTGAATTGGCATTCTTGTCATTATATAATACCCTTGTTTCGTATAACAATTTTTTTTTTTTTTTTAAGATGGAGTGTCGCTCTGTTGCCCATGCTGGAGTGCAATGTTGTGATCTTGGCTCTCTGCAACCTCCATCTCCCGGGTTCAAGCGATTCTCCTGCCTCAGCCTCCTGAGTAGCTAGGACTATAGGTGTGCATTACCATGCC